ACGGGTGCAGCGGGGAAGCTGTGTGTCACTACACGCACCTGCGTGCAATTAAAAATTCACGCGTGAGAGTGTGAAATGCGTGTAAATTACACGAAGCCAGTCAAGTAAAACTCATCAACTGTGTGTACTGAGACAAACGAGCGTGTAGCAAGACAATAAGATTGGATTTGTTCTTCTTTGAAAGATAACTGACCAACATGAGTGAGTCACTGCATTTACCGGAATTCTTATGAACTTAAAACGTGTGTGACAAAACTTAAAAATTAATTTGCACGGCTTCCGCTCTTCTTCAAATGGTTTCTACTAACTCGAAATTAAAGAAAAAAACTAAAACTAAAACGTAAACAAAGCAAAACACAAAACAAATCGTGAAGCGCTCCACCAACACAATCATAATTAAGTTCTTCGATAAAAAAGGGAACTTGATCTTTTTCTAGAAATCGTTGCCTAACACGTGACCAGATTTTTCATTCGGGGCGCCATTTTGTCTTTGTTCGCAAATAACACATTCGAAAGTCGCAGAATTTCCCGTTCCTTCGTGCGTTTCGATTACGGTAGTTTCTGCTCGAAATGAAAGAGCACGACAATTCTTAAGTTCTCTGACATAATGGATTAAATTTGTTTTACGTAGAAGGTGCGATTTACTGACACAATTGTAAGATTATCCGAAGGGCGCACTGTTTAAGCGAATTATGTGTGAATGCTCAACTTAGCATTTTTGTCCGTCGCAGGAACGCTTTTAAAAAATTATCACGCACGTCGAGTGAAATACAAATCCCACACTGATAGCAACCGTGTGAAAGAGTACACACAACATGCATGAAGTTAATGTCAAACGAGTTTAAAAACACGCCTTTTTGTAAATGGAATTTCTGGCGTTTGAGTGCCAACGAATAAGCCGGAAGTTAAATATTTCTGGGGCACGAGAGCAACAGGACAAGGGCCTGGGCCCTTGAGTATAGATGCATTATGGGTATAGCGATACGAGTATTAAAGCTTGTGATTGCACGTGGGCAATCATTTTAGGCCGACACATTCTCAGCTATTGCTAAGTTTATTTATTTATCTTTTTTGTAAGTGTGCATATAGCCTAGTAGGAAGGTTACGTGAGCTTGGGCCTGGTTCCTACCCAGATTTCCTGTCTCTTTTTTCCCTACGGGGTTTTTTATGGCAGGTTTAGCGGCGATAGGTTGATGAACTGAGTCGAATCTCACATTGAATACAAACACCACGACGTAGAGTTAAATGATGTTATTCTTTAATGTGGTCCAACACGTAAAACTGAAACAAGGATGCAATAACCAAGCTGAAACTTGACTATAGCTTCATCGATTTAAGGCACGATAAGTAAAATCGCTAGCCGATCCGAATGATAAAGATTATACAAGAAGAAATAAGTATATCGCGAAATCAGTGAATGTCGGCGACTGAACCGATGAATTAAGAAATAAAAGGAATTAAATGACAAACAACGTTAGAGCGATTACAATGAGTATTATAAAGGGCGTACCTCTATCCCGATCTTGGGGCGAAAACGTGCGCAAACAAAACAGAAACGATAAATCTACAAAACTTTGGGT